CCCCGTTCTGCGCCTACCGTAGTGTGTATAAGAGTGTAGCCGGGGTTCGATAAATAGCAACCCCGTTCTGCGCCTACCGTAGTGTGTATAAGAGTGTAGCCGGGGTTCGATAAATAGCAACCCCGTTCTGCGCCTACCGTAGTGTGTATAAGAGTGTAGCCGGGGTTCGATAAATAGCAACCCCGTTCTGCGCCTACCGTAGTGTGTATAAGAGTGGGGTTGCTATTTATCGAACACCGACTAGCTAGTCGCGAGTGCCTGTGTCAACCACCATGTTTGAGTAGGAAACGTGTGATATATTTGTTCGTGCAACTTTATATATTGTGAATAATTGAAGGCATTCGGTGTGTATTTACTCGACAGACAGTGTGGGTTACAGTACGAGCGAGCGGTAAGTGTTTGTGTGACTTTATACGTGTCGTAGGGGGATAAGTGACAGACAGACAGGGTCCCCGTAGCCCCAAGAGACGGTATTGCTAGGGTTAGAATACCCGTATATACTGTGTACATTGACGTCAGTCACACAGCCTGGTCGGGTTAAGGGTCCCGTAGCCTTTACATGAGTTGGTGGCGTGTTGAATTCAACTCTCAAATCTCAGTTTACTGTGTAAATATGTTTATATATACTATTACTTATAGCGTTTACAAGTTCTTTGTGAATATTTAATTTTCCAACTATTATTATTTGTTTATTTAACTTACTAAAGTAAGCGCGGGAACCCGTGAGGGCGTTATAACGAGTCGAAATGATATCCATGTAAAGAACTATACGGTGATGCCAACGTAATAGTTTCTAGACGAGAATAAATAATTAACGGCTGATGGTAAAAGAATTATCATTTTCAATGTTGTGTTGGCTAAGTAACGTGCGATATACGTGTTCGTATAACTGTATCAAGACTTTATATTATAATACGTTATTACACGGAGTATCTAAATATAGATGTATAAGAAACACAAGATCGATACACAATAAGGTACATAATATAGATGTATGAGATATATACTATAGATGTAAGATAGATCTATATTCTGAAACTCGTGTTATCACTTCATTCATACATGTATGTATTATTTACATGTACCCTGCGCCCCACTTCAGCGCCCCCTCTGGGCGGTAGCCCGGTAGACCCTCTCTGGACGGCCCAGCATCCCACGGATCCGGGCATAGCAGCACCCTTATCACTACCCTCATGGATTTGGACTTGCCCTCCCTCTAAACATAGGGGAGGCAGCGAGCAATATCTTCACACATGTCTTTTTTTTATTATTTACATGTACTCCAATTATCATGATACACCTATGGCTATGACGGATGACGACTTAACGTGTGTTGGTGGTGTGAATTATACGCGAATATAACATGTATATATATTTTTATTTATTTATTTACGTTCATACGATAGCAGTGGCACGCTCGTGTAGGGTTTCTTTCTATACCTGTGCATGCGGCAGGAAGTGTATCTAGGTCACGCTGCTGGCGCGCTCTCTCTGTACTGTATTGCTACCGCCGTGAAGTCGTGTACATGCACGCACGCACACTGACTCGTGCACGCACACGAAACAACATACAACACAACAACAACAACACAAACAACAACACAAACAACATAACTACATAAACATAATATATATACGCCTAGTGAGAGCCCGAAACGGGCATTACACAGAATAATAATGTAGTACAAATATCTATCGCTATAAAGTTCATAGATCATCTTTTGTTCAAATTCTTTAGTCTTCGTTCACTTTTTCTTTCATACTGTTTGATTCTCTTTCTGTTGAAGCATTCACAAGTTGTATGCACAAGACCTATCTACTCCTGTCTGTTGTCTACAATATTCATCCACTGATCAAGAACATTGCCACACCTCAGAGC